CTCCTCAGAAGGAAGGTTGGGCAATCTACTTCTGTAGTGATACTGCCTTGGCAACCCAAGGAGGGCTCATTATGAGTTGGGACCAACTCAATGGCACATAACAACAACAACAAGATGGGAGGGAGAGTACTGAGGGGAGGAAGGGGAGGTGATATTACAGATGATGGAGTGGTACAACAGTTTGGAAAACCTTGACATTTGGGACATCTTTTACCTCCACCTCATAGGGACCAGCTTTGTGCTGATCCTTCTAAAAGAAGTTATTTGAGCACCAACCGATCCTGGTGATGATGAAGGACTGGGCAGCAGTCCTTCTGTTGTGTGTGAGGTTGTCAAGAGTCAGGTGCCACATTGATAGCTGCTAGCAACTGTAAGGCCACGGTAAGGAGAAGAGGATGCACAAAAGTGAGGTTAAAGAGAAGTTTTTATTCTGAGTTTCTGGGTGAGGTTTACGGGTCCCTGAGAGGGGCCCAGGCGAGGTTCACAGGTCCCTGAGAGGGGCCCGAGACGTCGCACCGCCTGGCTGGGGAGGGTGGGTTTTATAGTCTTGTGGAGGACCTAAGTGGGGACACTAAGGAAATGGTGGGGTCCAATTAGCTGTTAGCATGGGTCTGTACTTAATTAGCATGAGGGGGCTTCACAAGAGGAAGTTTGCCACTGCATGGGACTTTCCAGTCTGGGTGGATTCTGTCACTCCGGTTGTCTTATCAGGCTGTCTCATCAGGGCTTGACTCCCAGAGGAAGCTGCTAACTGAAATGTTGGTGGCTTGGATTTGCTTCAGCCTAACAGCAACAACAGCATATTGTATGTTAATTAAACCTCCATGAAGCTGTTAAAAAATGTGAAAAATTTATGATGCCTGTGTGTGTGTGTGTGTGTGTGTGGTGTTCAGGGTGGGAAAAGGGGAATTAATGAAGAGGTAGTGTGAAGTAATGAAGGCTCAGAAAGTCTCATGACTCATGCTAGCTAGGGGTGAGTTTGGGGAAGTAAAACACCAGAGAAGAAACTGGAGTCTGGAATCAGACCTGTTCCTAGCATCTCTCCCCCAGCCTCCTTTCTTGATTTTCCTTCCATGTCATCCCATGACTTTCAGGAAGAATTCTGGGAGCTTCACCTCTGCCATGGCAGCATGACGGGACCAGCCCCTTCCCTACTGGGCCTCCTTTCCCCTGTATTCTCCATCTGTCTTCCCTGCCTTTCATGACACTTAGTGGCCCCCTTTTGGAAGCCTGGTAGAAAAATATATTGAAAACTATGTTTTTCAAAAATATTCTGAGTATTTTAAATTCTGAGTAGTTGATGTATGTGATTTCCTAGCCTAGTTCCTAACACATAGTGAGCATTCAAAATATATTCAAATATATGTGGATGTGCCTACACCCATGTCCTAGCTCTTACTTTTCCCTTAGATATGTGTACACCCATGTTCATCGCAGCACTGTTTACAACAGCAAAGAGATGGAAACAACCTAAATGCCCATCAATGGAGCAATGGATAACCAAACTATGGTACATACACACAATGGAATAATATGTAACCCTAAAGAATAATGTAGAATCTGCAAAACACCTCATAACATGGATGAACTTGGAGGACATTATGCTGAGTGAAAGAAATCAATCACAGAAGGACAAATATTGTATTAGTCCACTATTATAAAAAGTAATGGAAAGGTTAATATATGGAAGGGAACTTTCTTTGTTGGCTACTAGGGATGGAAGGGCAGAGGAGGGAAAATTGCTATGTAGGTAAAAGACAAGTATTGATTTGAATGAAGAGAAAGGCAATATACCAAAAGTGAGTGACCAACACAATAACACTAAGGAAAAGGAAGACACAGAGAGGTGCACAAAATGTATAGACAACAAAGATAAACACTTCTACATACACCATACAGCATTATCAGTAATAACAAACATTAACCTATGGGTGGATACATAGGTAGAAGACTAAATGATCAGGTATGTCTAGGCAAAAGGGAGTATATCCATGACCATATATAACATTGGCAGATGATATTTCTATATACATATTTATATGTGCTATAAGAATGTCCGGAGCTCTGGTAGCATAGTGCCTAAGGTACTTGACTGCTAACCAGAAGGCTGGCGGTTCAAACCCACCAGCCATTCCTTGGAAGGAAGATGGGGCCATCTACTTCCATAGTGATACTGCCTTGGAAACCCAAGGAGGGGTCACTATGAGCCAGGTCCAACTCAACAGCACATAACAACAACAACAACAATAAGAATGTCCATATATATTAGAGCAAAGGGAGAAAAGTTATGATAACTTCTTAGCCACAGCCAAACACCCTGAGGGAGTGAGTCACTGGGCCCATGGGCTCAGGCCCATGGTCTTGGGGAACATCAATTGCCATAACACACTACACAAAAACATTACTCTACATCCTACTTTTGTGAGTAGTGACTGGGGTCTTAAAAGCTTGCAAGTGGCCATTTAAGATGCAACAATTGGTCTCTCTTTGTTTGGAGCAAAGAAGAAAGAAGAAAACAAAATATACATGGAAACAATTAGTCCAAGGGACTACTGGACCATGCAAACCTCAGCTTACATGACCCTGAGACCAGAAGAACTACCATTGTCAGCCACTCAGAAAGTGATCAAAATAGGAGATCCTGGATAGAGTGGGAGAAAAGTGTGGAACAACATTCAAAATCATGAAAAAGACCAAGCTTACTGGGCTAATAGAGACTGGTGAAACCCCTGAAACTATGGCCTTTAGTTACCCTTCAGGCCCGGAACTGAATTACTCCTGTGACTTCCGGCCAAACAATAGAAAGAAGTGTAAGGTGAACATTTACACCGGGTAGGTACACTCCTTAGAAGGATCAACTATGAGAGAGCAAAAACTCACCACCATTGAGTCTATTCCAACTCATAGCGACCCCTCCTTGGGTTTCTGAGGCAGTATCACTACGAAAGTAGATTGCCCAGGCTTCCTTCTGAGGAGTGGCTGGTGGGTTTGAACTGCCAGCCTCTGGTTAGCAGTCAAATGTCTTAGGCACACTATGCCACCAGACCTCCTATGGGAGAGCAGAAGGGTGGTATTTGCACAGAGAGATAGCTGAGATGGCTGGAATACACAGGAAAGAAGGAGACAGGGGAAATGTAACCACAGGGAGGAAGTGTAACAGAGCTGTTACATTGTAGGGACTGCAGTCAATGTCATGAAACAAAATGTTATGAACTGCTATATAGCAAATGAATTTGCTCTGTACACTTTCACTTAAATCACAATAATAATAATAAAAAAGTTAATGTGGAAAAAAACAAAAAAAACCAAGTTGTCATCGAGTTGACTCCAATTGATGGCAACTCCATCTGTGTTAGAGTAGAGCTGTGCTCCACAGGGCTTTCCAAGACTGACATTTTGGAAGCAGATCACAAGACATTTCTTCTGAGGGGTTTGTGGGTGGACTTGAACTCTTAATCTTGCAGTTAGCAGCAAAGTCCATAAACATTTTGCACCTCCTGGGACTACTATTTGTGGAATAAGTGACTAGGAATTAAGATTCATGTCTTAAAATGGAAGAAACCAGCTTGGGGAAATGAAGCGGTGCCTCAAGTCAGTGGAGTGACTCCATACCTGTGTCCAATCAGGGCCTCTCGCGGGGGAGACAACCGTGGGGGTCTGAGATGTGATGAACAGAATCTAGACCTCACTCGGGCCTAGGATAGAGGCCCAGATGGGCAAGAAATGGAATGAGCCCGCTGAGAGTCAAGCACCCACCTGGTGGATCCAACAGTTTGGTGCTCAGAGGCTGAGCTGAACCTAGGAGCCCCAAGGCTCAGGAGCTAAATCAGTCTGACCTCAAATTAAGAGACATAGTTATGGTAATAATACATGGTAGCCAACATTTATTAAATCTTTACATTGGGCCATGTACTTTACATGTCTTACCTCATTGAATCTGTCTAACAAAGTCACAAAATAGAGCCTATTATTAGTCCCATTTCAAAGGGGCCGGGGACTGAGGCCCAGAGAGATACTTAAACCATTTAATAGAGAGACTTGAACCCAGCTTTGCTCCTGGGTGTGAAATCTGTATAGTCACATAGGGTCCTGTACTTAAAGGGCCCTGTGCTTGGCAGCATAGTGCCTAAGGCACTTGACTGCTAACCAGAAGGCTGGCAGTTCAAACCCACCAGCCACTCCTCAGAAGGAAGATGGGGCAATCTACTTCTGTAGTGATACTGCCTCGAAAACCCAAGGAGGGGTCGCTATGAGTCGGGGCAACTTGACGGCACATAACAACAACAACATGCTTGGTTTAAGGCTGCTATCACTGTCTTGAACTTCTTAAGAGTTTTTTGCACAAGATACCCTACATTTTTATTTTGCTCATGGCCCTGCAGATTATATAACCAGTCCTAGCCTGAGCCTGGAGTCCCTCTCCAGGTGGTTCAAATGGTTAGTACACTTGGCTGCTACCCCGCAGGTTGGAGGTTCAAGGCTACACAGAGGTGTCTTGGAAGAAAGACCTGGTGATGCACTTCCAAAAACAGAGCCACTGACAACCTTCTGGAGCACAGTTCTACTCTGACACACGGGGTCACCATGAGTTGGCGTCAACCAGATGGCAAGTGATGATGGGGATGTGGGCCGAGCTTTACCACTTTCATATTTAACACTCATCACATTCTTATGGGAGGGATCCTCTTAGCAACCCTGTTTTAGAGAAGAGGCAACTGAAGCTCACAGAGCTGTGGCCTCTGACATGGACACCTAAGTGTCCATGTCAGATGCCAGTGGCTGGGAGTCACAACTTGGGTACTTAATCACTCTGCTGATTTACCTTCCAAGAAGGTGCTTTGCTGCTTTGGAAACTGAGTCTACACTCTGCTGGGGTCAGGGAAGTTCCCAGCTTCACCGCTACTCCGTCTTGGTGGAGCTCTTTCCAGCATGCCAGAGCACCCGGTGCCCTCTCAGGGATCAACCAGGGAGGCTCCTGTTCTGTCCCAGATCCCACTCACCTGAGAGGACAAAGAATAGCGCCAGCAGCAGGCAGCAGGGAGGCAAGCAGGCCAGGTAGTCATGGGTGGGCATTGCGAGGGCATACAGTGCTGCTCTTCTTCTGTCTGGTGGGTGCTGGAGCCCACAGTGGAGTCAGTGGACCAGGCTGTTTCTTGTTCTTTTGGCCAAGGCTACTTGGGGATGTGTTGTCACCACAGCAGGAGAAGGCTCTGGTGCAAGAGGAAGTAGGTGAATTGAAGGGTTTCCAGCTTTGTTGTCATGACAGTGCTTCCTGTATTCATTGTGAAAGCTGTGATGACCCCTTGCCCCAAGCCCTGTCCTATGCATCTGGCAGAGGGAGAGGACAGCTGTGAGGCTGTGCACTCTGGAGTCTGTAAAAAAAACCCAACAAAATAAAACCCAACAACTATGGTTGCATATAAGGTATATGGATAGTTGTTGTTGTTGTTGTTATGTGCCGTCAAGTTGGACCCGACTCATAGTGACCCCTCCTTGGTTTTCCAAGGCAGTATCACTACGGAAGTAGATTGCCCCATCTTCCTTCCGAGGAGTTGCTGGTGGGTTTGAACCACCAGCCCTCTGGTTAGCAGTCCAGTGCCTTAGGCACTACACTACCAGAGCTCCCAGGTATATGGATAAGCATTGCATAACCCAGCCTCATTGTCTTTTAGATTAACTTATTCTTTCCAGAAAAACATGCTCAGGCTTTCAGTGTTTCCCTCCCTTCCTTACATTCTAAATTGCTGTTGGGTACAAAGGAAACTGAAGTTGCTTCCTGGGGCAGGATGGTGGATTTTGGGCCTGGGTGCTATCCCCTGGGTCCTTGATGTCTCGTGTTTGCCAGGAGGAGGCTGATCTGGTCCCTGAGAATTTTGCACTGGGTCTGCAGAAGCATGACTGGTCGTGTCTGGCCCTTTGGGGCTGTTATGAAGTGAATTGTGCCCTCACCCCACCCCAAAGAGGTATTGGAATCCTAGCCTATATACCTGCAGATGTAATCTGGCTTGAAATAATTTTCTTTGTTATGTTTATTAGATATCCAAGTGAGATGGGTTCTAAATCTAATCACCTCTAAGTTATAAAAAGAGCAAATTAGACACAGAAATGCAGGCACATATAGAAGAAGGCAAATACCATGTGAGGATGATCTGTAAGCCAAGGAACCAAGGAATGCCCAGGCCTACTGACAAAGAAGGGGGGTCAATATGGCTGAGACCCTGATTGGGACTTTTAACCTTCTGAACTGTGAGAAAATCAATTTCTGTTCTTTAAAGCCACTTTGTAGTATTTCTGTTACAGTGACACTAGGAAACTGAGACAGGGCTTTGCATGGAGCCACGGCTAACTCCCATGGCTCTCTGTACCTGTTTTCCTACTCATATAGTTGGGTCTCTTTGAACAGATCCCCCAAAAAACAAACAAAAAAAAACTAAACTCACTGCCATCCTGTAAGTTCTGAGCTCATTGTTGTTGTTGTTGTTAGGTGCCGTCAAGTTGCTTCCGACTCATAGCGACCCCATGCACAGCAGAACAAAACACCACGCAATCCCACGCCAGCTGCATGATCCTTGCTATACTTGAGCCCATTGTCGTAGCCACCAGATCAATCCAGCTAATCGAAGGCCTTCCCCTCTTTCATCTACCCTCCACCTTACCAAACATGACATCCTTCTCCAGGGAATGGTCTCCTCTGACAACATGACCAAAATAGGTGAGACGAAGTCTGGCCATCCTGGCTTCCAAGAAGCATCTCGGCCACACTTCCTCCAGGACAGATTTGTTAGTTCTTCTGGCAGTCCATGCTACCTTCAGCATTCTTTGCCAGCACCACAACTCAAAAGCATCAACTCTTCTTTGGTCTTCTTTATTCATTGTCCAGCTCTCACATGCATATGAGGCGATTAGAATATCATGGCCTGTGTTAGGTGCACCTTAGTCCTCAAGGAGACATCCTTGCTCCTCAGCACTTGAAAGAGTTCCTTTGCAGCCGACCTATCCAGTGCTACACGTTGTCTAATGTCCTAACTGCTGCTTCCATTGGACTCAATTGTAGAATCAAGCAACATGAATTCTTTGACAACCTCAATCTTTTCTCTGTTAATCGTGATGCTGCTTATTGGTCCAGTTGTGAGGATTGTTGTCTTCTTTATATTGAGATGTAATCCATACTGCAGACTGTGTTCCTTAGTCTTCATCAGTAAGTGCCTCAAGTCATCCTCACTTTCAGCAGTTTCTGAACTCATAGTGACCCCCACTGGGTTTCTGAGGCTGTAAATCTTTACAGGAGATCGCCCCATCTTCCTTCCATGGAACAGCTGGTGGATTGAACCACTGACTTGATTGGCAGCCAAATACCTTATCTACTATGCTACCAGAGCTCCTTTAGTAAAGGATCGCTGCAATCTTATTGGGAACTCTGGTGGCATGGTGCCTAAGGCATTTGACTGCTAACCAGAAGGCTGGTGGTTCAAATCCACCAACCACTCCTTGGAAGGAAGATTGGGCAATCTACTTCCGTACAGGTATTGCCTGGGAAATCCAAGGAGGGGTTGCTGTGAGTCGAATCAACTCAATGGCAGTGAGTTTGGTTTGGTAGTTTGAGATCTTATTATTAATGGGGTATCTGCATATTAATACTTAAGAAATACAAGGCTGCCATTGGCATCAAGAAGATCACCCAAAGGTGTCAGGATTCCTAAAATCTTTCTGTCTTGGGCTGCAGTGGGGTTGGTCCCTGCCTGGGGGAAAAATACCCCATGGGAAGGGACTTGGCATAGGTGTCCCCTCCTGCCCTGACAACCCCAGGCCTAAACAATTTCACCAGGCCCCCAGCACCTTGACATCACCTTCACAGGGGAAATTCTGAATCACCTGCTCATTTATGTGGATTCCTTTGTTAGATACTTTTTTTTTAATCTCAAATTTTACTTAGAAATAATTATATTTATTTTAATAGATAAGGTATTGTGGTTGGGCAATCCTACTTCTGTAGTGATACTGCCTCGGAAACCCAAGGAGGGGTCGCTATGAGTCGGGTTTGACTCCACGGCACTTAACAACAACAACAACATTGTATCAGTTAGCTATTGCTGCATAACAAACCACCTTACAACTCAGTGGCTTAAAATAATAACCATTTATTTAATTCATGATTATGTGAGTTGGTGATTTAGTCTGGGCTCAGCTGGGTGGTTCATCTTACCTCAGTGAATCTTGGCTGGAATTGCTCATATGTATGAGGCCAGCTGCAGGTTGGCCTGGTGACTCTGCTACTATAGGTAGTGCTGGCTGACTGTCATGTGGGGTACCTTAACATTCCTCCACATGGTCTCTCATCCTCTAGGAGACAAGTCAGGCTTGTTCACATGGGAGTGGCAAAGTTTTGAGAGTGAGTGTTAGCTGCAAGGCACAATGTCACTTCTGCTGCATTCTGTTGGCCAAAGTAAATCATGACTCCAGGCCAGACTCAAGGGATGGGAAGACAGACATCACCACTTGATAGGAGGAGTTTCAAAGTCATATAATAAAGGGTACAGATACAGGCAGGGAGTAAAGAATTGTGGACATGTTGATAATTTCTCTACTACAGGCATCCTCAGAGTTCAATATTCATAAGATTCAAAGTCTCCTTTATAGGAGTCCAGGAGTTCTGGTGGCACTGTGGTTAAAGCACTGGGCTACCAACCAAGAGGTCAGTGCTTTGAACCCAGCTGCTGCTCTGTGGGAGAAGGATGAGGCAGTCTGCTTCTGTAAATATTTACAGCTTGTAAACCCTATGGGGCAGTTCTACTCTGTCTTACGGGGTCACTATGAGTCAGAGTCAACTTGATGGCAGTGGGTTGGGTTTGGTTATAAGGGTCCTAGATACTTTGCTACCCCTGTCCTAGCTATCTAGTGCTGCTGTAACTGAAATACCACCAGTGGGTGCCTTTAAAGGACAGGAATTTATTTTCTCACAGTGTTGTTGTTGTTGTTATTTGCCGTCGAGTCAGCCCTGACTCATAGCGACCCCTCCTTGGGTTTCCGAGGCAGTATCACTACGGAAGTAGGATTGCCCAACCTTCCTTCTGAGGAGTGGCTGGTGGGTTTGAACCGCCAGCCTTCTGGTTAGCAGTCAAGTGCCTTAGCCACTAGGCTACCAGAGCTCACAGTGTAGGAGGCTAGAATTCCGTCTGAATTCAGAGTGCCAGCTCTAGGGAAAGGTGGTGTCTGCCTGCTCTGGGGAAAATCCTAGTCTCAGCTTCTCTAGCGTTCTCTCAGTGTTCCTTGGAGATCTCCACATGGCACTTCCTTTTCCTTCACTGATGCTTGGCTGGCTCTGTGCTAACTTATTCTTTTTATATCTCAAAAGTGGTTAGGTTTAAGACACATCCTACACTGATATGGCCTCATTAACATAACAAGGAAAACCCCATTCCCAAAAGGGATTCTAGCCACAGGTATGGGGGTTAAGATTCCTGGGCAGTCTACTTCTGTAATGATACCACCTCAAAAACCCACGGAAGGGTCACTATGAGTTGGATCCAACTCGAGGGCAGTGAGTTTTGAGTTTAATTCAATCTCTAACCCTGTCCTTAGAGTTAACCATAGTCACCAGTTTCTTGTTCCTGTTTCGGGAGATATTTTTACCTCAACCCAGAAGGAAGGTTGGGCAATCTACTTCTGTAGTGATACTGCCTTGGAAACCCAAGCAGGGGTTACTATGAATCGGGTCCGACTCGACGGCACATAACAACAACAACAGCTCAGAAGCCAGGTTGGACATGTCCCTTCTTTGAGGATTGTGGCCTCCTGGACACCCTGAGAAGCAGGATATGGTCCTTTCTGCTCAGGGAATCCCTAAACATACCTGGGGTTTCTATCATATTCCATTCCCACCCCACTCCAGGGTTTTGACCCCATCTCACTGCCAGGCCCCTGGAATCTCAACTCCTGTCTTTCTCCTCCTTCCTCTTTTTTTCTTTTGCCCACCACTTGTCTTCTGGAGTCACTATGAGTCAGAATAGACTTGATGGCAGTGGGTTTGGGTTTGGTTAGAGGGGTTCTAGACACATTGTCACCCCCTGTCTTAG